TTCACAGGACTGTGCTTGCAAAACAGGCAGCAGAATCACTGAGCTAAATCTCCGGCCCTGAAAGATACATTCTTGATCATCAAATATATTATAAGAATTAAAGTCACCTGGCATCTAGGGACTTGATACGTTCAAAAACCAGTTTTATAAAGAAGCTAGCCTAATCACAAATTATCTTTTCAAAGATTGAGCCAGGTAAACTAAATCATTCATAATCCTCGTTTTGTGGGAAGAAGCAGCCACCCAAAGCTACACTTGGTATACATACCTAGGAGTATATTCACTGTGAAAGTAAATAAACTGTTGAAAGGCACCTATGAAAGTCCTACACCAGTAGGACTTTTGAGAAATTGTAGACCTTACCCAAAATCCCTTTTCCTGTGCATTGAGTACATACAGATATATAATTAGGAAGATAGTTACAGGTTCCTTCTTCCCAATGGGAAGACAACTTGAGGTCACCAAATCCTGACAATATGGGAAAATGAATAATGCAGTTTCTTTAAAGGCAAGGGAAAGGTATTTTCATGTCTTACTGCTTCCTTTTATAGCAATACAATTTTCAGCCCAACTTTAATACACAACTATATCTCAAGCATTTCTAATTTCTACTTCTTTAAAAAATAAGCTAAAACTTCCTTTGGACTTTCTATCTTCTGACCTTATAAACAGAACTGTAGAAACAGAAGGTATCTTGGTTTTGTTTTTTGTTTTTGTTTTTTTTCAATTTCTTAGCATTCTCAATGAGTTTAGATTAATGTTTATCTTTGTGTTTCCTTGTCCCTGGTGCTCTGGCCTTCAAGAAGAAAACAGGAGCCACCTGAAAATAAAGGCTGTTATTTCAAGCATCTATTGAAATTCTGTTAGTGCTTTAAAGTTAATATGGTAAGACAGAAGAGAGTTTTTCTTGCAAATGTCTGTTTTAAAATTCACTCTGTCCTAAGAGCTGGGCTTGTTTCATTCCAGTGTATCCCACAAGGTGGCACTTTAAGAAAAATTAAAGTCTGACCAATGCTAGAGAGGTACTTCTAATGACTTCATTTTTCTGCACATCTTTTAATAGCTGCCTAGTGCTTATTTAATAATAGTGTTCATGTTCTGTGACTTGAAATACTTCATTTCTTAGATAGGTTCTGAACAGCTGTTTACAAATAGAGAATGCTTTAGGGGGCCTTGCACATCGATTTTGATCATTTAAATGAGTAAAGCCCAGTCATGTGTTTATTCAAGAAACATTTTTTGAGGTTCCTAATTACCTCATTTTTCTAGTATAAGCAGACTTACTAAAAAGCAACCCTCATGTGAGAACAGGATGCTTTGTTATTAGTATAAAACTCACGGTTTTCTGCTGCTTTCTTATCCCCTGCCATGGTGGCCTTTTGAGGAATTCAGTTTTTAAATCATAATTTTAAAATCAGGTGAGCAAAGGACTGCAGATTTAGTTCAGTGGTTCCGCTGCCTGCTCCCAAGCGCAAGGTCCCGAGTTCATCCCCGATACCAAAAAAAAAAAAAATCGAGTGAGCAAAATAAGTAGTGTATCAGTAATTAAGTGGACAAAAACTTTCTAAAAGGATTGCTGCACTAACACAAGATCCAAAATACTAAAGGATCTGTTAACTTCTATATTTCCGTAGTCAGAAATGTAAATTGTTAAATTGAAAAGGTCTTGGGATGTGGCTCGGAGGTAGAGTGCTGGCCCTAGCATGCAAGGCACTGGGTTCAATGTCCAGGACCACAAACATTTTTCAGTTTTGTCTTAAGTATATGAGCATGTACCTAAATCTGATTTCTCCGCTTTGCAAGTGTTTTGGCAATTTTATGTAATATATGTACCTTTTTAAAGTTCACAAATCTACTCACAGACCCATTATCTCCTTCCCCGGTGATCTATGACATTTGAGAGACAGGAAGTTAATGGTGGTTTTGTTTCTTCGGCACGGCGCAAGGCAGTTTACTCCTGAGGGGCAGAACGATGGACTTGGTTTCTTCAGAGTGAATCACTTGGAACTGTCAAAGCTCTGACATCAAGCCTTGGCACTAGTTTTCCCCCTGCTCCCCACCCCCCACCCACAACCCTACCTGGGCGCCTTGGGGCGGAGCTCCTCTCCGCCCCGCCCCTTGGCCGCTGAGGGGCAGGGGGCGGGACGCTGACCAGGTTGGGGTCCCCGCTGCTGACTCACAGGCCTCAGTTCTGCAGTCTTAGGGAGCAAAGCGTCCCTAGAAGCAATGGGTGTCTTCTGTGCATCAAGAAGTACAACACAGTCCTCCCAACACTCGGGTATAGAGAGATGCAGTAGACTGCTCAGTGCGATGCTCTCTGGCCGGCATCTAAGTGCTAAGCTCAGCTTTTTTGTTGTTTTTTGAAGAGATGTATAATTATAAGAAGAGGGTTTTTTTTTAATCATCGTACATGTATAA